TCAGATTGACTCTACAGGAACTTTGAACACACAAACAACTCACAACCTTCTGGAGGTGTACAAAGACTTGCATTCCTTCTGCGCCTCATTAATTTTGACAGCAAAAACAGATAAATAATTGAAACCCAATGAGAGAAATAAAATCTAGAATATTACCGATGATTACATCTTGTAGAAGTAGGATGTCCCAACTGGGCATACCGACACAACATGAAGTTTCAAATAGTTTGATCTAAATTTTGGTTGATTATCAGAAACAAATACTTATAAATCTTAAATTCTTAACAAGAACCTCAGCAGTGGAGGTAGCTCTGCACTTTATTCTGTCCAGGATAATGCAGGTCATGACAATCCAAAATGCAGGCACATCTAACGTTTGGGTTCCACTGACCTACTACGAGATCTAATCTGTAAGACTCTCTACCTCTGTGTCCTTGAGATATAAAGAAACACAGCCTCGTTGATATACTTTACAGAGGAATTGCCATGCCAAAAAGATTATATTTCAGTTAACTCTGATCCCATATGCATGTTTGATGTATATAAAGATTCTGCAAATGATCTTTTCAGGCACTTAAAATTTTCAGTAACTCTCATGATCAGAAAGAGTGCGACGACAATTTACATTCTTCCCTCTCTCTCTCTCTTGGGGGGTGGGAGTGAGAATAGGAATTATATGACAACAACTGCAATTGAAGAAAAGAGAATAATTTTACCCTTGAGTTGTTCAACCAAGCCCTTGAGTATCTTCTCCTGATCTTTCAGCATTGATAGTTCGGCCTCCTCTTTTGCTATTGCTAATTTTGCTTGTTCAATTTCCTGTCTTCTTATAATGAGACCTTCTTTGTATGTTGTAATTTTATTCTTCAATTTATCTCTTGCGACTTTGCCAGCCTCCCAACAAGTATTAGGGCACTTAATTTTACCATCATACTCATCACTCCCATCACAACAATCTGCTCAACATATGCAGCTTTAAAGTTCACTCCAGAGGAAAGGTGGTGAGATGTGATATAATAATTAAACAAGACCACAAGAAAAATATGTGGGTCAAGATGCTAAGGATTTTTGTACCCTCATCCACGTTTATGAAACAAAACATCTGAGCAGGATGTACACAAGAGAAAAACTAGAGATACAATGAGCAAAAATTAACTCAACAAATTAGTAAATAATAATGCATAACTTTTAAGGACAAAATGGGAGATGATCGAGTGAAGATCATACACAAGAAATTACATTATTTAACAAAGTGTATCTAGAAGGCGGACTTGGCACTTCTCTTAGATAATGTGCGAAAGATCATCAGACAGTTGATAAGAACTGTCTTATAAAACGGAAAAAGAAAGGAAGTCAAAATGAATATTCACGCAGGACAACAGTATTATTCTTCATCATCTTTCAAGTGTCAATAATGTAACAAATAAAACGAAGAAGAATGACGAAAAGATTCTGTTGATTAAACTTATTCACTAGTGGAATTGGTGTCATCTACATCAACACTTATTGGGCACACATCCTACATTTATCTAATATTCACTAGAACTAAACAATGTCACTTCAAATTTGAGTATGCAATTAGATATAAATAATTTTCCCTGTGAGAGACCATATAAAATAAATTTGAAGTTCTATTACACGAGAAGGAGTGATGAGAAGAACGTTAGTCTAAGTGTACTTGCCGTGTCTAGTTATCTGAAAGCCAAGTGTGCTTACTGTATCTACTTAGCTGAAAAGCACATTCAATCATCTTATTGAAAACACGTTTGAGTAAATCTTCTCTTTTCTTTATCTAGTTTAAGCTTATATTTATGGTTATACACACAGAATCCCACATTAATAGCATCATTTTTCTCACACTTAGTCACTTAGACCACAAGCACCATAGTCTAGTTCTAGTGAACTTGTGTCAATCCCTTCTGCAAATGAACCATGTCTTTAATTGGTGATGCTGAGTAGCACTTTTCCTAATTTTTGAGCTATAGACGTATCAAACATTGAAATACCGATACATCATGTTACTGCAAAAAGTTTGCAAATGTCTAAGGAATGTAGCTCTAAATAATTGAAAAGGACGTTTAAAAATTTCGGCATGCTTACCGCACAAACCATCATTGACCCTAGAAGAATATAAGAACAGTGGAACATGTCCTGCATTCTTACAATAGAACTTCCCATTGGGGCAAGCAGATGTTCCTGCAAAACCCACCATAATCCGAACTCATCTAATGTGTTTCAAATTAATGCTAAAAAACTTGCAACAAACCACCATATCCTAATTTTTATTTGCCCATGATTGATACCAGATATGTTCTTGTAAAAGAAAAATCTGTAAATCATCACAGAACAAATTCTGCACAAAATTCAACAATTAAAAGGAAATATACCCGGCTCATCCGAGCCGTCAGAGCAATCGCAAAAGTCATCATTGAACTGAGACTTGCTAAATTTCTTTGATCCATCTTTGCATTTTACGGTACCAGAAGATGACCATCCTCTGTAATAATTTTCATCTGCACGCCCATCAACTCAAGTTCGTCATTGCAGAATTAAATTTCATATCAGATTGCAGTGTTCAAAAGGTTGTAATCCAAGATTTAAGCAGGAGAAACATGGACCCACCTTCAGGGGAAACTCCGACGAGTGTGTCTTCGGAAGGAACAGGTGCCGATCTGCTAATGCTATACATCATCATAACACATAACAACAAAATTGCACTTTCTATTCCTAAATTCGTCATCTTCACCCTCCAACAAAGTAGTAATTGAACTACTTATCGATTACTGTTGTTTTTGTCTCCCCCCCAGAAAACAATTAAACAGAAAACCTAGAGTTAATTTGCTAATAAATTAGTGCGTAAGGATAACCATTAGGATCAAGTATATGAATTTTCACAGATGAATAAACACTGTTAATTAATGCCCCAATGAATGAATGAAAGCCTGCAGAGAGAGTGGTTTTGCAGTGGAAAGATGAAGAGAAAC